GTGAGTCTTTTTTTATTAACATAACTTTTATTTCAATTAAAATCAAATGGGTTCCATTATTCTGAAAAGACATCACTGAGCCAGAAAGGACATTCTAGAATCCAACCTTAAATAGGCCGAATATAGGCTACTAAAAATTTAAATAATTAAGAAACCAATTAGGTATGATGTTAATATATATATATATATATATATAGGATACCATTTTACAAATACGATACACATTTTGTTAGCTCCTAAATTTGTTTGTTTTAAATGAAGTATTATGTAATTTAAGCATTTGGCTGCCGTGTCAGTCACTTTGTACGAAGTAATGCATTTAAACCGTGACCGTACGGCAGTTTAAGTGTAGAATAATATTTGCTCGTCTAATTGTAAAAGAAAAATCGAAAGAATTGTTTTCCAAGTAAAAAAATGAAGACACTAGTAACGGGAAACCTTTAGGACTTTAGGAGCCGTCGCAGTCTCGCAGTTCAGCGCAGATCGCGGTCGACGTCGGGCGTGCCCTGCTTAATCCTCTCAGCTTAATGTACCGAACACTTATCCTCTACTTTTTTCTAATTTACGTCTTAAAGTGAGGAGAAATAATAATTATATTTATACCGTTACCGTTTGTAATTAATGGATAAAATATTACCTTTGCATTTAGATTAAAGTTCATTGCCTGTCCTATATGAAGAGCACTATTAAGGGTAATTTTGATGCAATTTGCTGTAAATTGAATTGTGCTGATATGATATGACGTTATAAATTATGTGTGAAGCTGTTTTTACAAATAAAATACTTCTAAAGTGTTAAAGTGAAGGTTTATATATTCGCGTGTTATATATACATATAATGTGAGAAGTGGAAAGTGATGCCTTGTTGTGGTTGCTGGTGGAACGGCAGACAAAGGCATCGACCGCCTGACCCGGCAGAATCAGGTTATTTTCCTTTACGATTTTCTGAAACCTATTTACATGACAGCTCCAACTGCTTCATTTCAGCAACAAACTGTTTACAGCCAAAACGCTTAGCAAATATTTTAAATTATTTTTCAAAATTACATGAATTCCAAAGATTATTGAACGATTACCTTTAAGACTATTTTTCTTAAAATCTTTTATAATTATGTTTATTGTGTTTATTTTAACGTATACTAAATTCACTAGGCTTGTAGCAAGCACCCTTAAATCAGGGTTCTTAAAAATAGGTTAATGATAAAAACGAATAATTCCGTAAAATTCAAATGTGCCTTTTGTTCTCATTTAATTTATTTATTGTCTTAGAAATATTTAAGAAAACTTGTATAGGTACTAACAGGTTATGAGGTATTTTATCATAGTCTACTAATGCACACGCACTTCTTCCTATTTTGTAGAAACCTACCTGGGGTTATCTGCGGCCACTTTTTGATTTTATACAAAATAGTGTGAATGGCTACTATCTAAAAAAATTGGTCAACGAATTCATTTCAACACGTATATTTAAATTTTTTATTATTTATAAAATTAAATATATTCGGTGTGCTGCTTGGCTTTATACCTACATATCCTACATGTAAAATGATGAACTGTTCTTCTTGTTCAACCTTTCTATACATGGTAGAGCCATGCTGCAGTTAGGTATATTAGTAGTATAGTTGTAGCACGAATGGGTCGGCTCGACTGGGGAAGGACCACGCTCTCACAGAATACCAGCGTAAAATAGTAGCTTAATGCTGCAGTGTTTCGTATGGTGAGTCTACAGAACCGGACTCTTTTTACTGGAAACGAGGCATTCCATCTTGGTCCTCACGGGTGACAACGCATCTGCATTTTGATCTGTAGTCGAGGATAGATGTAGATGTCTATGGGCCGCAGCAACCACTTACTATCAGGTGGACTGTGTGCTCGTTTGTCACCCTATCCTATAAAAAAACCTGTAAAAGTCCACTGTTGGGCATAGGCCACTACCATTATAGAATTTACCTGCTTAGTAGGCGGTAATGATCGCAGTACCAGACGTGAGACTTTTATTACGTGGTAGAGCCACGCTGCAAATGTATATGTAGTGTAGCTGTAGCATGAATGAGTCGGCTCGACCGGGGAAGGACCACGCTTTCACAGAATACCAGCGTAAAATAGAAGCTTAATGCAATGCAATGGATGTAGATGTCTGTAGATATATGCCATAGCATCCATTTACTATCAGACTGTGTAATCGTTTCAATTTTATTTAAAAAAAAATGCTTGTGGGAGTGACAAATACAGTAAAATAAAAGAAACTAGGACGTATAAAAATGAATTTCGAGCTCAAGCGCCAACCTTCTCAGGATTAAGATTGTACAAATACAGTGAAAAAGGTAAACCTAACAAGAAAAACACGGTTCCAATTTCAATGTCTTTTAGTTTCAACAAAACAGATTAGTATCCACTTTAACGTTGCAAATAAAAGATTCATCTAACACTTTCAAGAAGTAAAATAAGCCTAAAATATCGATACATGACTATGTATTCTTCTTTTATGTTATTACTAAACTTTATTAATTATCTAAAAGAAAAAGCAATATGTAGCGATGTAAAATACTTTATATTTGATAGAATCAGGCGTTACTTTGCGGATATCCATTATAATAAAAATATAAATTACTTCGCAACCTTCCGCTAACTAAATGATGTGTCTTACCTGGATTGAAGAGCACCTCCCGCCCTCCCTCAATTGCATGCACTAACTCCGTCACCACTAGTCCCAGCACCACTACCCCCAACACCACTACTCCCGGCACCACTATTTCCAACACCACTATTCCAGGTAAGACACACTATCGACGATAATACGACCCGTGTTTCGCCTCTACACGATGCATACTCAGGTGATGTATACTCTACGGCGGCTATGAAAAACTTAAATTCAAATTATAGATGATAATAAAATTTGAAGCGCTTTGTATTTTAAATTAGCAGGAAAGTTGCAGGTATGGCCAGTAGGGTCAGCCGTATATTTTTTATTTGACATGCAGGTTTTCACGATTCAATTAACAATCATTTCAATTTGCAATTAACATTACAAAGAAACGTGATGCCGGCCGTAATCGAACGTATGTTTTGAAAGTTTTCAATTTTTATTTGTTTAATAAACCTTAAAAATAATTTATCAGCCAAAAACATTCCACTGATACCAAATTTTGAAATATAATTGAAGGAAAAATCTTTTTCGCTGCTTATGTTAATTTTGACAATGTCAGATAGCGTTTCAAAGAGCAAGTTTTCTCATACTTATAATGGGTTTTTCAACAAGAACTTTGTTTTTCAATTGGGGCAACACCAACAACATGACAGTTTTGACATTTAGTTTTTTGACCTATTCGTAGTAGATGCTTTGGCAATTGCTACAATGAATTCAATTTCGCTCGAAAATCGTATTAAAATAATTAAAATCCACTATGAAAATTGTGGTTCTGTTACAGTTACGTTTCGTAAAATTCGTGATATTTTCGGACAACATAATCGTCCTTCTGAGACCGCTATTAAGAATTGGGTCGCTAAATTTGAATCGACAGGCTCGGTACAAAATGTGCCAACACCAATGCGTGTTCGACCAGGTCGTTCAACCGAAAACATCGCAGCCGTGAGCCACAGTGTTGAAGAAGATCCAAATTTGTTAATTCCTCGAAGTTCTCAACAATTGGGATTATCCAAAACCACCACATGGCGAATTTTGCGTAAGGATTTGGCTTTGAAGCCTTACAAGGTTCAACTGGTGCAGAAATTGAAGCTGACCGACCATTCACATCGCCGTAGATTCGCTCAATTCATTCAGGAACAGCCCGCTGGTTTTTCTGAAAAAATCATTTTTTCAGACGAAGCCCATTTTCACTTGTCAGGGTACGTCAACAAGCAAAATTGCCGCATTTGGGCTTCTGAAAATCCTAAAGCGATTATTGAGAAGCCTTTGCATGCTCAACGTGTCACTGTATGGTGCGCTATGTGGTCTGGAGGCGTGATTGGACCGTTTTTTTTCGAAGATGAGGCTGGAAATGCGGTTAACGGTCAATGGATCACGCTATCGCGAGATGTTAATATCTCAATTTTGGCCTATTATTGATGACATCGATATCACAAACATGTGGTTTCAACAGGACGGTACACATGTCACACAGTCAACGAAACGATCAATTTATTGCAAACCAAATTTCCCGATCGCATAATTTCACGAAATTCAGCTGTTAAATGGCCAGCCAGATCGTGTGATTTAACACCACTGGAATATTTTTTGTGGGGCTATGTTAAGGACAGAGTCTATACGGAGCCAATCGAATCGATCGCGGCCTTAAAACTCAAAATCCGTGACGTGATTAACGAAATAGACCCGCCATTTTGCCAAAAAGTGATTAAAAACTTTGATGAAAGAATCGACATCTGTCAGCGTGGTCGTGGTGGACATTTGCCAGATATCATTTTTCATTCATAATTGCCAAACTTTTCTCTTCGTAATACAATAGAAATTTGAATCATCTTCATCTAAACTCTTTGTTTTATTTTGTTTTAGAAAACAAAGTTCTTGTTGAAAAACCCATTATTTTGTTTTACAAATAAGTACGTATTGAACTAGCAACACTCAAGTCTGTCACCCAAAGGGGTAGGCAGAGACTTTCATTTGGCACGATCCTGACATACTTCTATCGCCTCCTACACATCCATATTCCATATACCTACGAATACATGCTCGTCGGTTTAGGGTGCTCTTAATTTGGCCCATTTACTAAATATCGCCACTTTGGTCGATAAACTTTCGCCTAGGACGTCCCTTCTCGACTCTGCAGTTCACTTCTGATACATAAATTTACTTTGTCACTTTCCTCATTCATCCTTTCTACATGACCAAACCACCGAAGCATTCCTTTCTTAATCCTGGTCACAATATCATCTTGCAACCCCACACTCTTCTCTTATCACACAATTTCTCACCCTGTCATTCAGATTTAAAGCAAGAATAGTTTCTAATAATAATTTAGGTATAATCGACACTACAAATAGAAC